CTCCTGCGCAAAATGCAATGAACACCTCCTACTGGTCTCAAGTGCTTCCAACTGATCAGTCACTTCCTTCTGCAGTGCCAAGATTCGTTGATCTCTCATCCTCAGTTCTATCTCACTCTCGCTCTCTGTCTCGCTCTCCATCTGTATTACTACTGACGGACAAGGTTGGTTTGATAACTGGAGCAGCAGCCGTTGGTGGGCTTGCTCCCACCTTGCCGTTCGCACGTTTGCCAAACCCAATGAACGCCTCGAACTGGTCTCAACTGCCTCTAACTGGTCTTTAACCACAGTTACTTCCAGCTGCAGAGCCAAGATCTGTTCATCTTTAAGCTTCAGTTCTTCTTGAGCTCGGTTAAGCTGCTCTTGAAGACTCTCTCACTCGGCTCTTTTCACTCTGACCTCTTCTGTCTCGCTCTCTGTCTCACTTTCTGTCTCGCTCTCTGTCTCACTTTCTGTCTCGCTCTTGGAAGTCCAAGGAAGGAGAAACCTCAATATACCAAAGATAGATTTAGATCTCTCTGTCTCGCTCTCTGTCTTGATCACTCTCTTGCTCTCTCTCTCTCTCCTGCTCTCTTTCCGTCTTTCTGTCTTGTTCTCTGCCTTGGAAGCCCAGAGACCAAAACAGCTCCAGTTACTAAAGAAAGATTTAATGCGAGACAGATAGCTCCCTGTCTCAATCTCTGTCTCGTCCTCTATCTCGTCCTCCATCTGTATTACTACATAATCCAGTGATATCTGACAATTGCATGCTTGTGAACTACAAGCATGTACACACGGATTACTACTCATTCTGTAAAGTCTTTGTGGAGTAACGGCTGGGACTTTCCTCGATGCAGTGTCACAGGCCTACAGTCAAAGGATAAATTCTGGAGTTCCGGAACCCTGTCGCATCATCAGCTTGAAAGTTGGTGCCATACCAACCGTTCTTTGGAAAATATCACAAAGCAAACAGGAGTATTGAAGAGAGGTCTAAACCCAGATTTGCCAACGGGAAAAGAAAAATTATCTTGTTTTAAAGAGATACAAGAAATGTCTCCCTTGGAATGAGAAAATAAAACAACAGTTCTTGAAATAAGACTAAATGGCTTTGTCTCATTGGAGAATCTAGTTTTAACACAGTCAGAATGTGCTCAGATTAAGAAAAAATAAACTTGATTTAAGCATTTATGAGGGAATAAATGCAAGTTAACCAGTAGGTGCCATGAGCCCCTCCTACCTCCTCCAACCAGACTCATTCGTAATACTACTACTACTACTACTTCTACTAACTTTTTACCTCTATTGACGAACTCTCTCCTTCTCGGAGATAGCGCCGTACGGAATGTAAACATGAACTTTATATGGACCAACTCAGTTCACTCGGCAAAAGTTGCTGAGATAAAGGCAGTCATCCCAAAACTTTTATCAGAAAACCGCAGTGTGGGTACATTGTTGATCCACACGGGGGCGGTAGACAAATGGACAAACACATTTTTATCAGTGGACCACTTCCAAATACAGATGGAAAAATTGAGTAGTCGGCTGAACCAGCTAAATAAATTTCTACTAGGCACGGGACTTTAACGCGTTAATTACAATTAATTAACGCCACAACAATAGTGCGTTAAAAAAATGGACGCATTTTAATCGTATTGTACTGGAGCGCCAACTGAGCTCCGTGACCATGGATCTATAATAATAACTGGATAGGGTATTACTAGCTTATAGCTGTCCCACCTATGGGCACAAGGGGCGCCCGTGGTACTGCAGACGAAATTCACGAGGGCTACCCCGAAAAAAGTTCCATAGAACTCAATGCAAATTAAAACAGCTTGACCTCAGCTGACAGAGAACCTACAGCTTTCATAAAAATCGGATTTTGTGGGGATTTTAGTGTCCCTTGTCATCCTGAACTTTTTTTCTTCTTAAATCCTTTGGTTTTCTTTAAATCCACACTTTACTGCCACAAACTCTGCTCCCTGCCTTCCCGCTCTGGCTCCGCTCAGCTGCTGCTCTGATGATCAGCTCTGATTTGGTCAGAGCGCGGCCGAGCCCCTCTGTGCACGTGCATGAAAGCCACTGCCTCACTGCGCAGAACCGGGAGGACCAGACGGTGCCCAAATACAGGCGAGTTCAGCTAATCTCCCGGTCTCCATGAAGTCCCATGCGCTACTGAGCACAAGCCCTTCATTTGAATAGGGCGCAATCTTGGATCACCGGGGCTTGTCCGTAACTTTTCTTGTTCAAAAGTACATCATAACAAGTAGGGCTGGGCGATATAAACGGTATAAGCGATATAAATTTGGCCAACGGTAGAGATTTTTGTTATACCTGCATATTGCGAAAGGTCATTACTGTATGTCATCAAATTACTGGGTTGCACGAAAGTGCTCCGAGGGACAGGAAGTACATTTCCCTACTAAGAATCATGTAAACATTCACTGATTCCGAGTTTAAATTCTCTTTTTCTGTGGCGTGTACAGTTGTGTCAAGTGGGGAACCTATGGAGTCTCTACTTTGCTAAAAAATATTTCTCTAACGGGTGTTAATTTTTAGGAAAATGCCTAATGAGGAATGGGAAAAATGCGCTAGCATTAGCATTAGCTTGCGTAGAGATAGCTGACAGTCCGCAGTCTTTACTTCGCTTACTTTCATAGATACAATGCAGTATTTTTGTGTGGTATACGGTTGTAGTACCCGAGGCAACAGAAAGAAAGAACTGTTAAATACATTTTGTAATTGCAGCCCCCGCTTTTAGCTTAACGTACCATTAAGCTAACAGCAGTTAGCTCCCCCTGGAGCTCTGTACTTTTGGTTATTTACAGCTCAACAAATCACCAAAATGACAATAAAGGGTCATATTTCTCGCTTCAAATGCTGTCTAAAGTAACATTTGTGCCCTATTTATTGTGTAATTGATCAGAACTATCAGACGTGTTTCTGTTGATACCAGAGTGACTCCACTGTCGTCACTATAACAGTCTTAATCTTTCTCATTGTTGAAAAAAATGGACTCATTCAAACACTACAAAGTGTAAGCTGCATTAAAATAGTTTTCACTCATAATAAGAGTGATAATAAGCCGCGAAAAGCTCCTATGTCTGCGTTTTCCATCATTGCCCATTCTATTTAATAGGAGAAAAATACTTCCTGTCCTACGGACACATGTTCCACCCCCTTTTGGTTGCGTGGTTGAAACCCAGCAATGCTGCTTGGAAGTTAAAGTTTTGTAATGTTCTGTATGATTGCAGTTTTGCACAATACATTTAAATAAGTAACAATCTTGACTATTTCATTGAAGAACCTGATAGACCTATATTGAAATTCACACACCGAATTATACCGCAATATATACCGTCTACCGTCTGTGTCCCAAATTATACCGCAATATGAATTTTAGGCCATATCGCCCACCCCTAATAACAAGCATAGACCAACTTTGGCGGTGTCTAAATCTGAGTGAATTAGATTCATGGTTATAGACGGAAGAGAGCGCTGTGTATGGAGCTATGGTGTGTGAGGAGGAGCAGCAGCAAGCGAGTCCTCAGAGAAGGAGGAGTCGGAGGAGAAGGAGGAGGAGGAGTCGGCGGACGAGGAGGAGTCGGCGGACGAGGAGGAGCAGCAGCGACACAGGTGTGTGAGCTGCTATTGTTGAAGTTTTAGTTCGAATGCACAAACGTATTATAAGCTTTAGTGCTCACTTCGAGGGCAGTGGATTTTGGTCATACAAAGCGTATGTTGTGGACAGAGTGTGTGGAGGCAATGATAGATACGTTATTTGAGGGAAAGAAGTCTGTCTGATCATCCACAATGAACCTGTGTTGTTTAAGCTTATGTAATCAGTCATTATTCAATGGTAAACTAAACATCCATGTGAAAAAAATTACTTCTTACTGTTCTCAGGACAAATATTTACATGCAATTAAAATGTGATTAATTGCAATTAATTAATCACAACGCCTCTAATTAATTAGATTTAAAAAAATTAATCGAGTCCCAGCCCTAATTTCTACTCAACAAGTGTTCATGCAGAGGACTTGCCTTCATTGAGAACTTTAATCTGTTCTGGAATAAGCAAAAGCTTTTTGAAGGAAAAGACCCAAATTTGAACACATACGGAGTAAAAGTGTTGATGGAAAACTTTGCTTCTACCCTAAGACCTCAGCCTGCACAGCGCATGCAGCCGTCGAAAGGGAGGAAGAAGCAAAGGGCTTCTCCTGCACATACATCACGACCATCTCCAAGGAATCCAGAGGTCACCGCCTCAAAAGAACTCAATACCCCACGGTTCAAAAAGAACTCAACACCTCCAAGGTTCCAAAAGAACAACACCTCCACGGCTCCGAAAGAACTCAACACCTCCTCCACCAGCATCAGCAGCAGCAGCTGCCACATCAGCATCTGCGTCATCAGCATCACCTTCCATGGACCTGTTTTGGGTCCCCCCTGCCACATCCACTCTATCTAGGGAAAATGAGGACGACCTTTCCCTTTGTTTTCCATCCACGCCTTCACTATTGGAATTACCGGAACACTCACGCAGGCATGATAAAATCGGCGATGAAGACTATTCCTCTCACACCACTTTAGCCAGATCAAGAGTCCTATATAACATTCATAACTACTCCCCATACGTACCTCCAAACCCACCTAGGGCGTCCAACTCAAATTCACCCAAAAAATCCACCTGTCCCTCCCCTAACCCCAAAACCATTCCAACCCCAGCCCCTCCTCCCCCTCGTTTAGCCCACCTCTCCCCTAACCCATCACCAAGCCCCGGCGATCCAAGATGGCGCCCTATTCAAATGAATGGCTGTGCTCAGTGGCGCTTTGTGACGGCATGGGGGCTGAAAGATTAGCGGAAGTTGCCTGAAACTCTCAAAGATCTATGGGAAACTCACAAAGATCTATGGGAAACTCGCCTGTATTTGGGCATCGTCTGGTCCTCCCGGTTCTGTGCAGTGGATGATCTCCCATAATGCGTTGCGTCAAACACGCATGTGTGGGTCTCACACCGGGTCTCACGGCACGTGCACAGAGGGGCTCGGCCGCGCTCTGACCAATCAGAGCAGTTCATCAGAGCGGGAGTTAGAGCGAGAGCCAGACGAGCAGAGTTTGTGGCACTAAAGTGTGGATTTAAACAAAACCGAAGGATTTAAAAAGAAAAAAAGTTTAGGATGACAAGGGACACTAAAATCCCCACAAAATCCGACCTTTATGAAAGCTGTAGGTTCTCTGTCAGCTGAGGTCGAGCTGTTTTAATATGCATTCAGTCCTATGGGGAAAATTTCTGGGTAGCCCACGTGAATTTAGTCTGGTTCAGTCTGCAGTACCGCAAGAATCCCCCGAGCACATGAGTTATTCAGCTACAAGCTAGTAATACCCTATCCAGTTAATATAATAGATCCATGCCCATCACCAAGAACCCCTCCACCTCCACCTCCCCCCCCCCTGCCCCTCGTCCGACACCCAACTCCTGCCCCACCCCTAACCCATCACCAAAAACCCATCCACCTCCAACCACCCCTCGTCCAACACCCAAGAACCACCCATCTCTCCATCCTCCTACTTAACAACATCAGCTTGTATTATTCATTGGGCTGTCAAACGATAAAACATTTTTAGTTGATTAATTACATAGTAATGGTGAGTTAACTCACGATTGATCGCATGTTTAACATTCTTTTTCAAATCCACTCAAATTGAAGTTAAATGAGATTATCAAATGTAATGACACATTGTCATTCATACCAAATGTACTTCAACCTTGTTTGATTTGCTCACAACCTTTTACTTTTGGGCACAACCAAAATTAGCTGTTAATGAAAGGGTAACATTTACGTACCCCAGCTTTAATTTTAGTTTAGTTTCAGGAGGAGACACGCACACTTCCGCGGTGTATTTGCTGCACAGGTTACGCACAGGTTGCAAAAAAACGAACACAACATGCAGAGAATAGTTCTGCGCGTGTATAGTCTTATATGACAACATTACACAGCCGCTAACAAACAGAGTGGCCGCAGCTGCCCCCGGGGTGTGCCCGGGAAGACCGACTTCAGTTCATAGACTGTAGCCCCGCGGTCACACGCGTATTCTTTTAAAACTTGAATTTTCCAGAGACCTGCTCTGTTGCCATCTCACACAGGCATGTGTACGCGACATTCTGAGTATTATTATGGATAACTGGGCGGGTCATTTGGACATGCGTTAATGCGTTAATTATTTGTTTACGCGTTGATATCATTAACGTGAGTTAACGTGAGTTAACGCGATAATCTTGACAGCCCTAATTATTCATTATCATTATTTATTATTGTAAATACACTTACTGTGTGTACTAGTAACAAATATGCAATGGTAAATAATGACTGTACCAGTGGGGGCGGGTCCCGGCTCAAAAGTGGCCAAAATGACGTGCGCTGACATGCTTGCAATACCACCCCGGGCCGATGGGGGTGGACCCAGAAGAAGAATTAGCCAATGCTAACATATAGCGTTGGCAGACCTCTCAAAAACGTCTTTACAGGATGAATCAGGAGAATCCCGGTCGGACCAGGGCCTTTCTGAGTGGAGTTTGCATGTCCCCCCCATGTCTGCGTAGGTTTCCTCCGGGTACTCCGGTTTCCCCTACCACTAAAAATATGTCCAATAGTTCTGGCATGTGCCTCCTGTACTGGCGACCCCGCTCCCATCTCTGTGTGGAGTGAGAGACAAATGCCCAAAATGAACAATTGTAAACCGCTTTGAGACTCAGATCTGCAGTGAAAAGGCGGTTTATCAATAAAAAACTTACTTACTTCCTTACTTACAAATGAACAGGCTTTTCTGTGCTCATACAGCGGGAATCAACCGAGTGGGCGTGTTTGGTCCTGGACATGTTTGTATGTAACATGAACGTGTAGGACTCCAATTACCATATTTGTATTTAATTAACATAAATCCCCCCTGCAACCATCAGTCACAGCCAAAGGATGCAGGGAGAATGCCGTGTTACAAAATGGTGTTAAAGTGTCGTGCCAGCTGAGGTGAGTGAGACATCTGGTCAGACTGTCTGCTGAACGGAGCACAGAGCTGTACCAGGCACGTCCTCTGGGAGAGACCCATGACGATGTCTGTCCACTGACCTGGGAATGTCTCTGTTTCTGCCCAGAAGAGCTCAGAACAGAACCAAAACCAGGGAAGTTCCACATAAATATCGCTCAAATGAAGAAAAAAAAACTGTATACTCTGCTTTGCGCCCTATATTGTTCAAAAATATGGTCATAATTTAAGAATCAAAATGTTTTGTAAATTGTTGATTTGCGCAGGCATTCTTGTGTGTGTGTGTGTAAGAGAGAGAAAATGTATGTACTTTATCATTATATGCAAATAAACAAATAGATTATAGGGTAAAATGTAACTGTATTCCAATTAAAAGGGAATCATAAATAATATCACTAACAATATCAAATAAACTTGAACAAGCAAAGTTGTGACTGTTAGCAGCAGTTCCAATCAATCAAAATTGGTAAAATACACACACACACACACACACACACACACACACACACGCTCCAACAATTACAATACCCGCCTACTTATATATTGATTTGAATACTTCAGCTTACATCTCACATTTTGCTATATTTCAGTTCCCAGCCTACAAAAACATATTTTTTGATTCTCCGACCTCTCCTGACTTTGAGAAATGTCTCTTGATGAAAGTCAGGCTGTAGCAGAATCACTTTATCCAGAGAAAATTGTTTTTTGGAAATGGCATTTAGCAATCCTTGTATCTTGTTTGATGTTTGCTCTTATTTCTGCTGTCCTGTAATGTTTGAAACAAGGACACTGACATTCTCCTGCTGGGACAAAGACCCTGGGACCTCTCTTTTCTTATGAGGTCCATGTGTGTGGGTAAGAAAAGTCATTGCATTTTGAAACTTTACTCAACTTCTAGCCCTTTTCTTTGATTTATTCTAAGATAAAAAAATTATTTAAACAAAATCGATCAACCCACATTTGAGTTTCCAGATGCCTTCGTCCCCTGTTCTTTTTGGCTAGGGTGCAGACAGAGATAGTACATCAGTCCTGGAGTCCACAGTCGGGTTTACTTTCAACCAAATCGAGCCCATGACGTAAATGTGGATATATCTTTGAAATGCAGAGTAGAAAACATGCCGCACCAGCAGCAGCGGCAGGATGCCTCTGATGGAGCGACCAGCAACATGATGGCAATCCAAGCTGCTGGATTCATACATCCATATCACCGACTCAAAACGCCAATAAAATGCCAAATAAGATGTCAGCGCTGCTTAGTTTAATGTATTACTTGGTATAACTTTAAATTTACTTATAAGTTAATACAAATATCAATGTGTTTGTGTTGTGAGGAATTTCTCACTGCAACATTAAAGACATCATAATAAACAATGACACCAGTATAAAGTATTGTTTTAACATTTTAAATATGAATATAAAATATAACATTATCCAAACTCAACATATCAGCAGACCAAAGTAGTGAGTGAAGACTAGTGTTGCCAACGTCTATAATGAACGGAACAAAGTCATTCTAAAAAGCAAGTGGAGAACAGCAGACATGTCCCATGGCTGTGACAGCAGGTCCTGTCACTGCAATGGTGTCTTAATGCAGTAAAAGAAAAAAATACATGCATGAATCACTCTAACTACAACCCTTAGAAGATTAATGAGAAAGGAAAACAAATCCCTCAAAAGTTACTTTTACGCATGAAAAGGAAAAAACAGTAATGAAATATATGTAGGGAAAGTTTACTGCCAAAACAAGCAATATTTTATGTCTCACCATGAAAAAAAAGTTACACAGCTCACCAAAACAAGCCACAAATGACAACAAAACACAGTAATCTATTGCTCTCTTTCAAGATCCCGGCTAAACTCTTTGTAACTGCTAATATTTGCAAGACAATCTCACCTGTATTTCATCCCTGTGTGCTTTCCCGTGGACTCTTTGAGCGAGATGTGCCGCGGGGTGAAGGAGCCGAAGCTTCTGGCGATGATGGCCACCGTTCTGAACTTTGCCCTGGCTTGGTTGACCACATTGGGACTGGTGGCACTCTGTTTGCCATGATCCCCATTTCCTCTCTTCAAATTATGGTCAGTGCAGGCTATAGAAACCTGCATGTTGACTTCAGGTATGGCAACGTCTCAAATTCAAAATCCGTTAGTTTTGGAGTTGCACACCTGTCTGCATTGCCTTGTTCCGTGCCGCAACTTTCAGGGATGCATTTGTGAGCTGCTTGTCCATTCAAGATAAGTTTTCAGATTGATCTTGAAGAGCAAAGCGCAAAAAAAAAAAGAAGCAATGATCAGTAGTTCTGGCGGCGCAGAGTTTGTCAAACGGAAGCCGATCGGAGGAGAGGCACTGTGTGGAGTGCGGATGAGCTGCACCGGTGTGACTGAGGCGCACTGGTCGGGCTGAGCACAGAGGAGAGAGAGAGAGTGTGTGTGTACAGACAGAGGGAGCAGAGAGAGGGAGAGAGAGAGTGTGTGTGTGTACAGAAAGAGGGAGCAGAGAGAAGGAGAGAGAGTAGGAGAGTCAGGTGATGAGAGAAGACACGGGGGAGTCAGCAGGATGCATTGTCACACTAACACTTCTGTCAAATCTGCTGTCATAGGGGTTTTTAGACTTTACGGCTGCTATACGGATTTTTTATTTTTTGTAATACTGTCTCCGTGTGTGTGTTGGACTCCACCAAGGCTGCCAGTTACAGTATGTGACACTTCAGGGATTCGGTTTATGATAATAATAATAATAATAATAATAATAATACATTTTATTTCTTAGGCGCCTTTCTTGACACTCAAGGTTGCCTTTCATACAAGTCAAAAAGTGCATTTTAAAAACAGTTAAAATACAAGTTGAAATACGGTTAAAAGCATAATGGACAGAGGAGAGTGTGGTTTTGATGTTAGTGAGTAAGCTTGTCTAAACAGATTAGTTTTGAGTCTGTGTTACGGAGATCAGGGGGGAGAGGGTTCCAGAGCTGGGGAGCAGAGTGGCTGAAGGCTCTACTCCAAATGGTGAAGAGGAGGAGGAGGGACCAAGAGGAGAGAGGAGGGGGAGTGGAGGGAGAGGGCAAGTGTGGAGATCTGGAGGAGGTCAGTCAGGTATGGAGGAGCAAGGTTGTGGGTGGCTTTGTATGGGATGCGTTGAGTGATGGGGAGCCAGTGGAGCTGTTGAGGACAGGGGTGATGTGTTTGATGGAGGGGGTGTGTGTGATAAGACTGTGTTTTGGACCAATTGGAGAACATGGAGGGTTTTTTTGAGAGAGACCGAACAGAAGGGAGTTACAATAGTCGAGGCAGGAGGTGATGAGGCTGTGTATATAAGGTTTAGGGACCACAGGACCTCATGAGATCCAGGTGAGTTTCCATTCAAAGTGAAAGAGTTCTCTGGGTCTCTTTTCACATGTGAGGTGAAGAATGACCCAAAGTAAGTAAGTAAGTAATCTTTATTTATATACCGCCTTTCACAGACCAGAGTCACAAAGCGGTTTACAATTGTTATTATTTTTGGGCATTGGTCCACTCACTCCACACAGATGGGAGTGGGGTCGCCAGTACAGGAGGCGCATGCCAGACCTATTGTGCATGTTTTTAGTGGTAGGGGAAACCGGAGGAAACCTACACAGACACGGGGAGAACATGCAAACTCCATTCAGAAAGGCCCTTGTCCGGCCGGGATTCGAACCCAGGACCTTCTTGCTGAGAGGCGAGAGTGCTATCCACTCAGCCACCGTGCCACCCACACACAAAGGAGAAAGAGGTCAAAATGATTCACTGACAATGTGTTATGAGTAGGGGTGCAACGGTTTGAAAAAATCACGGTTCGGTTCGTACCTCGGTTCAGAGGCCACGGTTCGGTTCATTTTTCGGTTCATTTTTCAAAAAAAAGTGTTGTCTTTTTAATAAACACAGCTCATGTGGACTCGGCACCTGCTCTGACTGCCCCCCCTGACCTAGAAATGAATTAAGGGGAAGGAAATGGATGGATGGATGGATGGAATATTCCATCCATCCAATTATGTCTATTTAACATAATTAATGAAAAACAACACAAAGTGCAACATAAGAAGGCACTTTATGAGGATATTTACTCTCATATATTACACCACCTTCCTGATTCTCCCGAGGAGGCGCTCCATTCTGGGCCCAGCCTCATTCACTGCATTTATTTAATTTTTGGCATTATCAGTTGTGACTGGGATATTAGTACTGGGCCTTTGTCTTCCATTCCTCCGCTGCTTGTGTCAGTACCTGCGCTGTGTGACAGTGTGACTGTCGTAGAGGGGGCGTGTCTGCAGCGCCAGACTTTTCATCTCCCAGTCTGCGGTGATGAAGTGAGCGGTTCCGCTCATGGATCTATTATAGGTTCCGCGGGACGTCCGAGCGTCAGTCGTGAGCGCAGCTGTGATGCGCGGGAGAGTTGACTTTAGCCCGGTGTGACTGTGCGTAAAGGAGCTGCTTAAATGCCGCGACAATAAGCGGTTGTTGAGACGCTTTTTTCACTCATGTCTTTCTTGTGCCACAGTGCTTACACATCGTGACAGTTTTGTCGAATATTAATTATCAGTGTAGTTACAGTGAAGCCAAAATGCTCTCATACTGGGAATTTAAATGACGCGGGGCTTTCAAGCATCTCCGTTCCTCCGCTCGCAATGACCGCGCTGTGTGTGGACTGAACAACGTGCGCACAACTTTTTTTTCATAAATCAAACCATGGATCACGTCTGTACCGAACCGAAGACGTTGAACCGAACGGATCACGGATCAGTGATGAACCGTTGCACCTCTAGTTATGAGTATGTATACTGCAGAGGGTACACTTATTTGGTTATTCAAATAATTTTAATTTACTTGAACCCTGCTTTACTACTCTTTGTAAATTTATATACAGCACTTAAAATCAGGCTGTGTTTGAGCAGCATTGTACAACTGCTGGTTCTTGGCAGCTCTCTGAGAAGCAATCCTTCCCTTTGTTCTTCTCTTTACTCTATATTGTCAGGGAGCCCTTAATTCCTGACAGGAAATTATATTGCGTAATATATACCAGAAGATTTGCCATCGTTTTTGCCTTCTTGAATTGAAAAAAGACTTTTCACGCCTGTACACAATTCTGATCAAATCTCTTTATGCCCAAAGTCCCAGCACACACTAATGTACATACAACCCCTATAGGCATCGGCAAATCAAAGCTGAGAATGAGACGCAGAATTGAGGGGGAGGGCTGCAGGAGTGAGAGCAAGTGGAAGAAAAAAAAAGGGTAAAAAACAAAAGCCTACAAGAAACTCATTTAGACTTCTGCAACTGCATCTGAACCTTTTTTTTTACCTGGGAATATCCACCGCTCAGTAATTGTCAATTATTGTCAATCCAACTTCCTCTTTCAATGCTTAAGCAGAAGTTTTCTGTCCAGTTGTCATTTCTAAACGCAAGATATTCTGAAAACACTCTGTATTTTAAGTTATAGTGAAAGGCACTTAAGTCAATCAAAGCATGTGTTATTTCATAAACAAAAGACATGTTTGTGACAGTGTTTTCTTTCTGAAGTTGAGCTTCTCTACTGTAGGTGGCACCATTGATTTACAACTGATTTATGTTGCCAACCTCAATTAATTAGTTTCTAACAGCACTTGTGCTGCTAGAAATAGAGGCGTCCATCTTTTTTTTTTTTTTTTTTTTTTTTTTTTTTTTTTTTTTTTATTTCAACTTAAAACCATACATGAAAGGACAGGACAACAGACATCAACAAGGCACAAAAAACAAAAACAAATATACCTTCAAACAACACACACACACACACACACACACACACACACACATACACACACACACACACACACACACACACACACACACACACACACACACACACACACACACACACGCACACGTTCCTCAGAACTCAAATCAAGGGAATGCAGTAAGCAAATATTGAAAAATGACTAAACAATACAAACTAGAAAATATGAATGAATACATTTTACAGAAAAGGTAAAAAGGATAATCATAATTAAAAAAAAGAGCAAAAAAAACATTCAGACTACATTTTGAAATATGTTAGACAAGGGGGGGCTAAATAGCTATATCAATAATAATAACAGAAATTTTTTTTTAAATTGTCATACACTTTTTTCTTCAGATGTAATACATTTCATATAAGAAAAAAGATACATAAAAAAATAAAATAAAATAAAAGCAGTATTACTATCCAGTAGATATCCACTCTATCAATCTGGACCACCGTTTTTCATGAATATTTTTTTCTTTTTCAGATTTTAACATACACCCCTCAACTTTGTAATAATATTCAATATACCGCAAAAAACTTAACATGTTTAGTGAAGCCGTATTTTTGGTTTTAAAAATAAATTTCTTACCTAAAAGAATAATTAGGTTAATTGATTGCTTCCATTTTGATTCTCCAAGAAACCCCAACACCACCGAAGGCAGGCCTAACTGACATTTTATATTCATGTCTTTGAATATTTGCTGTACTGCTTCCCAAAAGGCCGCCACCACATGGCAGTACCAACATAAATGGTCAATAGATTCTATTTCACTTAAACAAAAACGGCATTTGTCGGATTCAGCAAGACCCCAGATTTTAAGCATTTTATTTGTAGGTAAAAAATTATATATAATTTTAATTTGAAAAAATCTGCTGTGCGCGTCCACCACAGTTTGATATATTGTACTGAAAACCATCTTCCAGTAAATCGGTTGATCTAACAGATCTTCCCATTTTTTAAAAGTTCTATATGGCCAGGCTATCGCTAATTTTTGATGGAGATAAAACATATGTATACTTCTATTTATCTTATTTCCTTTCGACCACCTATAGTTCCGTAACACAGGCCGACAAACTAATAACTTGCTACATTCACTATTAATTTTAATTTTCCAATTTCTCTTCAGGGCAGAGAGCAGCTGATTATATGAAAGAGGGGAGCAGATATCTCCATAGGTACTAATAAGTTGATCATATTGCATTAACTTCCCATTTTCCCCTATGATATCGTTTATAAAAACAACTCCCCTTTTGATTGCATTTTCCCAAAGTATGGGTTTCCCTTCAATCAGTATATTTGAGTTTAACCAGATTATTTGTTGTAAAATTTCATCACGGTTATTTGGAGGGTTGAATTGAAAACATAACCAACACTCAAGAGTTTCTTTTAAAAACATTGATCCATCATTTATAAGATCTATTACATTAGACATATGAGCTTTCTCTAGCTGCAGATACATGAAAAGTCCAGTTGAAAATATCACATGATTTTGTTCCAATAAGGCACTTATATACCAATTAGGGTTTTCGTGTATTTTCTGAACAAGAGAGGCTTTTAAAGCGAAACAAAATGCTTCTAGGTTTAGTAATTTAAAGCCCCCTACTTCATAATTATTGTAAAAAATATCCCTCTTTATGTTTTCAGGTTTACCGTTCCAGATAAATTCAAATATTTTTTGTTCATATAATTTAAAAAAACTTCTGGATGGAGAGGGAAGTGACATAAATAAATAAACGAATTGGGGCACTATTAAGGAATTTATCAATGCTACCTTCCCATACAAGGTTAATGATGCACCCTTCCATGGTTGTAGTATCTTTTCAATTTTTTTTTGTTTCGTTTCATAATTCACTTTGAGATCTTTCAAACTTTCTGGTATTTCGATCCCTAGAATATTGACTGGACCATTTGTCCAATCCATTGACAGATTACTCTGTATTTTGAAATTTGTTTTATTGAGGCTCCCAATTCTAAGAACTTTACATTTATCGTAATTCAATTTTAAGCCAGAATAATTGGAGAATTCTTCCAAAAGATCCAATAAACTGAGGAAACAAGATTTTTTTGGTCTTATTAAAAAGCAGGTGTCATCTGCATACATAGAGATTTTTGACTCAACCTTACCAATTTTTAACCCTTCAATTTCTTCATTTAATCTTACTTTTATGGCCATTAATTCCATGGCTATTATAAATAAGTAGGGTGACAAGGGACATCCTTGTTTCACTCCTCTTACTATTGTCACTGGATTGGAAATATGGCCGTTGTTAATTATTTTACATCTTGTTTTATTGTACAAAACTTTTACCCATTTGATGAGTGAATCACCAAAATTAAAAAATTCCAAACATTTAAAAAGAAAATTTAAGTTTATCTTATCAAAAGCCTTTTCCAGGTCAGCAATAAAAATTAATCCTTTTTCATTATACTTTTCGTAATTTTCAATTATCTCTAATAATTGTCTGATGTTATTCCCAATAGAGCGACCTTTTAAGAAACCGGACTGATCATAATGTATAATACTTGGCAAGACACGTTTTAGCCTTTGCGCAATGCATTTTGCAAGGATTTTTATGTCATAGCATTGAAGTGTAATTGGCCTCCAGTTTTTTATCATTTCTGGGTTTTTATACTGGCCACCAGCCTCCTGTTTCAAAAGCAGTGAGATGATTCCTTCCCTTTGGGTCTCAGTAAGATGGCCAATTTGGTATGAATAGTTAAAGCATGATAGCATAGGCTTTTTTAGAATATCAAAAAAGGTCTGATATACCTCCACTGGTATACCATCGACACCAGGTGTTTTCCCTTTTTGAAAAAAGGACCAACACACTTCATAGAGTTCCTCCTCAGTAATTAGACCCTCGCAAGATTCTTTCTGTGAGTTATTTAATTTATATTTAAAGGAAGTAGGGAAGACATTTTTAATATCAACTGAGGGTAATTCTTCACCAAATATTTCCCCGTAATATTTTTCCAATTCGTTTAGAATTTCATCTTTTGAACTTAGGGTTTGTCCATTATTCAATGTTATCTTGGAAATATTTTTTTTTGAATATTTTTTTTTTTGGAAATTTAGAAAGAATTTTGTGCATTTTTCTCCATCTTTCATCCATTCTGCCCTTTCAAATAAGTAGCTTTTTAAAGAGCGACTTTCCACTAAATCAGTTAATTCATTTTGTTTAATTTCCAATTCATTTAGTTTATTTTGTGTTGGGTTATCCGTATTATCTATTTCAGAGGTAATGTTTTCAATTTCTAATAACAAAGTTTGTTCTCTCTTTTTTTCGTTGTTTATTTTTCCAAGATGAGAAACCAATAGCATAACCTCGGAAACTACATTTAAAGGCTTCCCACACCATCAATGGATTAGCAGAGCCTGTATTATATTTAAAAAAACTATCAATAAACTCATTTGTTTTATTAATAAACTGTTCATCCTGAAGGAGAGTTTGGTTAAATTTCCAATATCCTGGCCCTCGTTCTTGTTTTGCCAGTGATAGTTTTAAGCCAATGGAATTATGATCTGAATACAGTTTATCTTCAATAGCGGCATCTATTACTTTGGATGTTAATGTAAAGGAAATTAAGAAAAAATCTATTCTACTAGCTTGATTTTGCCTCCTCCAAGTGTACCTAATAGATTTAGGATTTCTAGCTCTCCAGATATCCACTAATTCCATTGAATCCATAATATTAACAATCCTGTTCAAGGCTTGAGGATGATAGCTTTTAGTAATTTTACCTTTTCTATCTAATACATCATTCAATGAGGTATTAAAGTCTCCTACCATGATAAATTCACTCTCTCTATCCTGGAGAGCATTTTCTATTCCATCAAAAAAAGTGGGTTCATCAGAGTTGGGCCCATAGAGATTAATAAGGCATATATTTTCTTCTTGAGCTGTAATATCCAAGAGCAACCATCTACCATTTTCATCTGATTGCTTTGAACATAACTGAAATTCAAAATTTTCTTTAAAAAGAATCATTACTCCCTTTGAGTTTTTTTGTCCATGGGAAAAATAGATTGGACCCCTCCATTCATTTTTCCAAAGTGTCTCATCTGCCTCAGTAGAGTGGGTTTCTTGGAGACAAAATATATTATAGCTTTTTTCTTTTAGCCATGAAAATATAGTATTTCTCTTTTTACGATCTGCCAGTCCATTACAATTATAACTTAAAATATCTACTTGTACATACACCATATTAAATCAAGATATTTTAACTAGTTATTCACTTTTATTAATTCATTATATGGAGTAAAATGGGGGAGATGGAGAAGAGCAATAATAATATAAAAAGAGGAATACTGCAGGGAACAGAACAAAAAAGAAACATCCCACATATATGCACACACCCATATGCACACACACACACACACACACACACACACACACACGACAAGACAGAAAACAAACACAAAACCTAATCTAAAACCCAAAAGGTCCATGTCCATATTGTCCATCCCAAAAAACATTACATTCTTAAGGCTCCAAAAAAGAAAGAGGGTGAAAAAAATAAAGGAAAAAAAGTTATCTTTCAAAAATATATATCCATTAAAAATTAATGGTTCAAAATGAAAAGGAAAAAGAAATCTTCAAGGTCCCTTTTTTCTATAATCCAAAGTGCTTCTGCCTGGCGTTTGCTCTGTAGCGAACAACCGGGGGGCAGTGACGTCACTAGCACGCGACATTGTTATGATGCCAGGGGCTGACTGTTGTGTCTGTATAACTCTCCATTTACATACAATTTGTCAACGACCAGACGAACCTTTTGCCCCTGTTCTTTTAACGATTTCATAATCGGAACAAGTTCGCGTCGTTTTGCCACCACTTCTCTTGGAAACTGCTTACTGATGAAGAAAGGCGTACCTTTTAGCGCTTTGCTCAAGGAGAGAACCTGCTCAGCTTGTTTAGAGCTTGTGAATTTGACCACAATGGGTCTCGGTTTACCTACGGTTTTGCGCTCCCCCAGTCGGTGTGCCCTGTCCACTTGTATGGCCTCAACTTCGTCCTCGGATAAACCCAGCTGATGAAGCAAGAAAGACCTGACGAGTCCCTCCGATGTCTTGTAAGTCTCGTTCGGTTGTTCTTTGATTCCCATAAAGAGTAGGTTGTCTCTCATGCTTCTACACTGTAGATCCAGTCAAAACTTTTTTTCTGAAAAATGAACCAAACGAGTACGAACCGTACCGAGAGTTTTTTTCAAACCGTGCACCCCTAGTATTCAGTACAATGATATTGTGTTAAATTACATTTTATGTTGACCCGTCTTTAGGAATGCTGTCAAAGCCAGCCTGGACCTCCAGCTTACCTGAAATAGGGGCAGGTCTGAAGCTGATTGGCCACGGACCTCTCCTATGCGAGCCAGGTTAAGACAAGTGAACAACGTTGACATGTAGAGTGCTTGAGTCACATTAATGTTGTCTGTTTAGTGTGCTGCAGTGTCCAGAATTCACCACATCATGAATGCTTCATGTTTGAATGCAACACTTCGTATGAACGTATTCATTGATCATCAAAATTAGTTTTAAAACTACAATTCTGGTTTCATACACTGGAGAGGTCCATTACACACATTCTCAGCGGTTGTTATAAAAGTAGATTTCTTGGTTTCTCTACACTGGAGAGGTCATTACACACATCTCAGCTGTAGTATAAAGTAGCTTCTGGTTTTCATACACTCGGAGAGGTCCATACACCCACATCTCAGCTGTAGTATTAAAAGTAGATTCTGGTTTCACTACACTGGGTGAGAGGTCATTACCACAAATCTCAGCTGTAGTATAAAAGTAGTTCTGGTTTTCACTACACTGGTTGAGTCCATTACACTCATCACTAAACATTATTGAAAATGCTTTAATTTATGAATAATTTGTAATAATAATATTTTTTATAATTTAAAATAATCTGATTTATGTTTTTTGCTCATTACAGGGTAGTGATTTACAGCTTCTCGAACCCAGCAGGGAAGGAGGATGCAGACTCCTGTTCGAGTTCATAAAGCAAACAACGGCCCTGCGGTCACTTTTTAAACTTGAATTCCCAGAGACCTGCTCTGTCTCCATCTCACACACGCATGTGTCCACGGCATTCTGAGTGTTATTATGGGATGCATAGGCAGCTCATTCGCCACATGCGTCAAATGTGTTCATTTTTTTAACGTGATTAATGAAAACAATTAATTAACGTGTGTTAACGCAATAATTTTGACAGCCCTAATAATTTTTGTGGCGCCTGCACACTGCACTAAAGGCAAACACCCAAATCAAGATAAGAATTTAATTTAATGATTTAATTTATTTAATGTAGAAATGTATTTGTTTTATATATAATCATCCTTTTTTCAAACTTATGTTTTATGATGCATTTAAGGATGATTTGTGGAATGTAATAAAGTGAATAGAATACTAATTTAACTTTAAACCGCTCGCATTAACTGACCCTTAATTTAGATTTATGAAACCTAGTATAGCCACAAATGTGTCACTTTTGTTGTATCGGCCCAACCCCCTCAACTCCTCTGTTACATGTTTAATAGTATTTAATTGTGTAATTTTCACCTTGGGGCCCTGGAAGAGGCCCCAAAGAAGTATAAGGGTCCATTACTGGTCTAAATAATTCAAGGCTGAATACTTTGCTGATCTCCCCACTTGACCTTTGTGTCTGGTCGTCTGGACATATGCTAATTGTGAAGAGAGGACCCTTGAGACCTTTCTCCATCTTACTTTTTAAACTTGTGGCCTTGACCATAGACTATAAATAATATATCTGTGCGTCCCTCTCACAGAGAGGGGTGCACGCTTAGATGCTGCTCCAGGAAAACAAATAATAAGAGGTGCACAGAGTACGAGGCTGATACTGTTCATTTTGATCAGCCAGTACCAATCACCAATGACGTTTTTTTTTAAATTAATCATAAACATACCATTTGTTTTAACCTTTAATTTATTTTGTTGCAGGTCAAATTCGTGTAACTTTGGAATCTCTTCAACTTCATTATTATTGTAACTTTAATGAAGACTATGTCATCTTTTTTGTAGGTGTTCTATTGACCAAAGTGATTAGGGTTAGAGATTTCAAGGAATTCTCATTTGCTTTCACTGTTTCCTTCACATTACGCTATCATTTTATAAGGCAGAAAGTTTTCCCTGTGATGGACTGCTTCGATATATCAATTATGTGATGTATAGTGACTTTCTCACGCGATCGATTATCAGTATGCTTTTGCCAAGTATCGATTTAAAAAAAAGAAAGAAAAAACAGAAGAGTTTTTTTTTATTTTTATTTTTTAAATATATATATTATTTAAATTAGTACCAATACTTAATATATGGCTACATTACGCATCTCCAGTCCATTTATCACAAAAAAAGTGTATTTTTTCACTCAACATTTTTCTTTTATTTATGCCAATATGTGCTGTATTTGAATCCAGAGTTGAGAATTAGTTAACTTAAACTTTTAACTATTTCGTGTTTATTCAGTTTGCTTTACTAAAACTACCTTCTATAACAGTATATTTCTGACCAATATATCTATAATGTCATATTGTGATAGAATCGTTATCGTGAGATTTGTTTTGCGTATCGTATTGTGAGGTACCCTGAGGTTCCCCCCCTAATGTGGATACTCACATAATGTGGGTGAAGCTGTTCTTTTAGAAGCAGGGTAGACAGAAGCGTTGCCACATTGTACACATGACGCATGCACACGGCTCATGTAAAACTGTTAAGCCTTGTTAAAAGCGGTACCACTGGGCTGAGAACAAATATACGTGCAATGTGCGTACAGGCAAATCTTTTTGTGATTTCTCCCTTTCAGCGAGAAGGTTTGGAAGGCTGAGATCCCGTTGGCAGATCTAGATCTGAACAGGAAAACTAATTTCATTTCATTAATTTGAGTAAAATTTCAGTTAAATTTCCCTATTATTTATATTTAGCAATAATGAGAACCAGTCAGGTCAAAAACTAACAAAGAGTGTTAATAAACAACCTTCTATCTTATTTTCTGTGCGCTGCAGTTAGGGTCATGTCCTTCAATGCTTCTCTATAAAATTATAGATAAATAGGTTCTTTATTGATCCCTGTAGGAGAAATTCAGGTGTCTAGTAGCAGCAGAAAAACATGCATTCATACAAACAAAACAAATATATAGATTATTCAAAAAAGCTATCAAAAGACTTTAGGCGGTGCAGCCGCTTGGTTCAGACCCTTTTCTCTGCTCTGGTCCAGAGTAAAATGCTCAATGCTTTGTTAGCGTTTAAACAAAAATTAGCATTCCTCCAGTGGATTTCTGCCCGATCTACTTGGTTCAGTCCGTGAATCCTAAAAATAACAAAAAAGCACTATGCTTTATTTAGTGAATTATATATTTTGATTGTATGTCCATTGTATGTTCTGTGTCTGGGATACTAATCACTTCTGTGACATTGTAGATTTAGAAGCCACTCATTGCTAAGAGTCTTTTGTCTTCAGAATAGAGAAAAGTATTTGATGTGCATTGCTTATCACACATCATCCCTGACCCACCAATTACAAACAATGTAATTAGGTTTTCTCTCCAGTCGTGAGTCTTAGTACAAGTGAAATTATGCTAAGATTACAAGACTCTAGTGTGTCGATTTAGAGCTGCCCCTTGTGTCTGCACTAGTAATGACCTAGACCAATTTTGGCATAAGACACAAAATTCTAATCACTGGAAGGTGATTGTCAGCTTTTTATGACCCATTAGTGTCTAACCCAGTGTATTGTTTTGGAGCATTGTCCGTGGAGCGTGGCCTTATCGCGTCTGCATTGTGTGAGAGTGTGAAGGTATTATGGACACCCTGGCAAACTTGGCTCGTTCCTTTTAGGCCCGCGTTGACTGTGACGAGACAAGAGACCCGGGATCCTGTTTCAGGCACGATGAGGCTATAAGAGACCTGAGCGGACACAGTGGACGCTCATAAAGGAAAGGCGCTGAGGAAGAATAGCAACAGCTTGACACCAAGGGACCGTGACGAGAAACTAGTTACAGGTGGTGGCTGAGGTCAGCAAAGGATAGGTAGAGATAATAGAGGTATGGTGGAGAAGTTTACCTGGAGAAGACCAAGAAATCTATATTTTGCAGAAGTTCTTGCAATCATCGCCTTGATCTCGTGCCTTGAAGTAGAAGTGTTAGCTTGAGGGCCATGCTAGCGGCCCGGAGCAGCGGCGGAGGTGTCCAGCCCCCCCACATTCACCGCAAACATTCGGTAGCTTCTCTCAGCGGCACCAAACGCAACTCCCCGGACAAGCGCAATGCCTCTGCAGGGAAAACGCAATCCCGGAGCCACAACAAGGCCTCCCTCATTCGGGAGATTGAGACCACCTGGTACCTGAAGATGTTCGGACTGGGCAAAGAGGAGACGGTGGCGACCAGGACCGGGATGCCCTACCGGTGAGTCCAGTGCTTAATGCATTACTTATACATTATCTTCAGGAGGAACACGTCTAAATGAGCTTGAGGTGATGAAGTGTGTTCCTCAACATTCTGATGTTGTGACAAATTCGGCAGCAGCGCATCTGCTCATGTGTTACCTTTCACTTTTGAACTCACTTTTTTCTTAACTTTGAACATTTGTTTAGATTTACTTTCATTTCTCCTGCTTCTAAAAAGTTTATTTAATAGTTCACTAGCTCATTGGCTATTAGCATTTGGACAAAGCAAAAGGTCCACATGACAACAACCAATTTGCTGCAGACAGACTCAGAATAACTTATGCACACAGATGGATACATGAATTCAGTTACAGTATGGTCCATATGGTAAATGTGAGTGTCTCCATTGACACAACTTTATTTTGTAAATGTATTAATTACTCATGATTTTAATTGTGTCCCCTGTAATATTGTCATGTGTCCATCATTACAAATGTAATGTCATTTGTCGTGATGGACATTGTTAGCTTGAACTGTTAGCTTCATCATATATATTAGCATGACTTAAATGTTTTAGCTTACACCTATTGTAGAATCAGGCAGGACAGCAGTATTTTATTGTTTTAATTTACTGTTGATATTATTTCCTCAACCAATATTGTGAACTGCTGCAGTTGTCCTGTCCCACCCAGACCCCATCAGATTATTGACCGTGCTTTGTCTGACTCCATGCTCAAACTGAATTTTGTTCTGACTGTCCTATTGCATCATCGCTGATGTTGAGCAGATTGCTGATGGAACACAGCACTGAGCTGTGAACTCTGACTATAATCTATATCAGGTTTTGTTTGGGTTGCTTCTGTCGTCATGCTGTTGAGTTGTCTGAGCAGAGTTTGAACTTTCACCTCTGAGATTCAGTTTGGCATGTTGTCACTAATAATTGTGCTTGGATCATGTAATAATGAGTCTGTTTGTCTCACAGTAGCTGTAATTTAGGGTAATCATTGCCCACATTTCAGGGCTTTGGGAAAAGGGAGCACTAAAACAAGATAAATATGTATTTATTTACAATAATAAACAATAAACTCTACTCTCTGTTCCTATCACTCCTAAAACAAAAGCATACTTAATCTTGGCTGAGCCGTAGGATTTTAGTTCTGAGGAGACAGGAGCCTGTGTACTGTAAGTTAAGTACACTCAAGTAAATACATAAATCACAATACATTTGCACAATAGGAATGTAAGCAGAATTTTGATTCTCCCACATCCATGTAATTATTTATCCAAAGCTATAATTTCTTTTTCTGATCCTGCAGTAAATTATTTTGGGGAAACGTCTCCTCTTGTCTCGTGCTCCATCCCCGCCACAAGCCTCTTTCCAATAGTCTTTGTCTTTCAAAGCAGTATGAATATCAAAGAATCTAATTAATCACAACGAAATAGCTATTTATATATTCATCAATTTTAATGTTTGATTATATTTTGTCACAAATCTCTGTGGGTGACGTTTAGATTTTTCTGCAACTCGACAACATTTATGACTCTTGGTAAAAGTCTTTAAGCATAACCTATTTACAGAAGAAGCAGATTTTGGTTGTGTGAGTTTTCCTGCTAAACAAGAAAACTGCTCTTTGGTTTGATTATAAGCAATACTGCATTGTTCTGTATAAAAGTGATGCCCAAACTCAAAAGAATACATTAAACCTTGTGATCACTTGGGCAGAGATTGATCGTTCCTTATTAAAAAACACCATATCATAGACTCCAAGGATCTCTGTCCTGCAGTCATCTGTGAACATTGTGCACTGGGCCAGAACATCCTCAGGCTCAGGCTCGTGTCACCTGATCTTCTCGTTATGCTATTAGCTAGCATCTGTCTTGCTGCGTTAGCCTTTGTTGACATCTCCTAACGCCATGGAGACACAACACATGGCTGTCTGCAGAAACTGTTTTCATTCTTATCTTTGTCACATTGCTGTAAAAGACTCAACGCCCCCGTAACAGCTCAGCGGCCGGTTATCTTGGCTCTATAATGTTCTCACGCGGATATTTCAAGTCCGCTCTTCTTAATCCGTCCAATCATTCTCAATTTAAGCCTTGTATTAAACTGCCGCTCAAGTATCTTCTTCTACATTCAGCTATCTCCTGGAATCCCTGCTGAGTTTGGGATTTTTCACTTCCCATTATTGTAATATAACCGAGCAGCGCTTCGAACTTAGGGAGAAGATATTTTTTGTGACAAATGGCAGTGAAACATTTTTTTGTCACATCAGCCCTTTCTTCTATTGCTTTTCATATTTGAAATGTCAAATACCAATGTTTCTTCTTTGTTGTCCTACATCCATATAACCAAAAAACAGGATAAACTTTATCTTTCTGTCATTGTTTTAACCAGCTTTATAAAATCCAGTTCAATTATCAAATCATCCTTGCAACAAATAAATTACAAATATTAGGTTGTGAAATTAAACATTTTTGGTAGTTGTTATTCATTAGATTCATGTTTGTTGAACTAGTGCCGTTAACACTGCTTCAATTATTTAAGTTTGGGTCTTGCCCTATTCACGTCACTGGGAGTGGGTAGTTTCTACTTGTGTCTGCTCCGGTTTCCCCTACGTCCCAAAACCACAGATGAAATCCACCAGTGAAGCTCCTGACCTAGCCTGGCCTTAGCCATCCATAAACTCCGATCAATTGTTATTTCCTACATGTACGTCTGGGTCTGATCCCAGGGGCTGCAGTTTCCTCGGTTGAATCCCCTCCAACCAAGCAGGGAGCGGGGGAGGCGGATGCTGTCGGTGACGTCAAGAGTTTGAGCCAAATTTGCTGGTTGTAGTTTGGCAATGGTGGTGAATGCAATATTAAAGTAATCCGTTCTGGTTCAATCCAAATATCAAAAAAATGAAGTCGGAGCAAGAGGAATGTTTAGCAAATGTCTAGGGCTGAAACAACTAATCGATTAATCGACGACTAATCGATTATTGAAATAGTCGACAACTATTTTAGTAATCGATTAATCGTTTTCTGGTTCACACGGACTCAAACAGAGCAAAAATGACATGAAAATGTAGTATTTTTGATTAAAACCAACTTTGTTTTTATAATTTCATGAATATCTGTCTGTCTCATCCAATCAGATAGCAGAATTAGCACAAAGAGCCTGTTACAAACATTTACTTTAAGTTTACGCCATCTATACGTCCACGAGTGTTGCCACTTTAGCTTTTTGTGATGAAAAAATAATTGTTTTCTACACAATTCACAGCCAAGCGATTACTCGATTAATCGTAAAAATAATTGATAGATTAATCGATTACAAAATAATCGTTAGTTGCAGCTCTACAAATGTCATTGCTGCAAAGATGACGTGGTCCTACTCCCTATGGGCTGCGTTAGTGGCAAAGGAGATGTTCACTCGGGCGCATTACATAAACTCAGATCCAATGGTTTCAATCTGCAAAAGGAGTTAACCCCTACCACCTTTTAAAAGATCTCAATGGAGCAAATCCAGACCTTAGTACGAAATTAAATTTGTACGAATGTATGGTAAGACCAGGCTACTCCTGACCAAGCTGCGCATCAACATCTAGACACAGACGTTGAATCATGGGTCAAATGCAGAGAACAAATTATATCTATGACAACATGTTTATGAGTATTACATTTTCTCCTGTACTTGTACTACAATCTGTTAAATTGAGCGTTGCTTCCACCTCAGATGCAAATGACCACATGAGATTATCCAGATAGAGAATGGCACAATTGGGGCACCGTCGGGTCAGGCGATCCCTTGGCTGCCCCATTACACCCACCACTTCTACGCAAGCACTTCATTCATCCACATTTCATACAAGGCAGGTTGATTCTTACATATTTTTATATATTTATTTATTTGAATTTAGGGCAGTACATATTAATCAATGTGTCTGAAAACAGTGTCAACATAAATATGCTGGAATTAGCGCAATAGCTAAATAGCATCCATTGTCCATTTTCAGAACACACAAACAGTTAGGTTAGTTATTAAGTACAAACAATAAGTTGAACAGCACAAAATAAATAATTTAAAAGAAAAGAGAAAGAGAAAATCCAAGGAAGAGCAGATCTTCATCTATGACTGGTTTGATTTCCACCCATGTTTCAGGGCTTTGGTAGGTCTCACTGTTTTGTTTGTGTACCGGCAAAGTGTTCCATAATGTTGTGCTTCTGATGGAAGCCACCATTTGGCTGAATTTAGTACTACGCCTTTGTACATTACAGTGTCCCCTGGTTAGTGCTCTGGTTCTGACTCCACTGTTGTTGTTTTTTACATATATAATCCATTAAGGGAGGAGGAGCAAGTCCATTAAACAAATAAGGCAAGTGTCCAGAAACTTCTTGGATTGGTTCATGTGCAGTGTAATCGGGCCCTGGTTCATTTGTTTTGGCTCGCTGAGGTGTTGAAGTTCCCCCACGTGCTGCTGTCTATTTGGAGCACGTCAAGTTATGACAAAAGGCTGTGTTGAGAGACTGACAGGTGCAAGTGCATTTGATGGCCGTGTTTAATAGTGCCACGGGATCCTGGGCGCCCAATAAAAATGGCTCTGCGATTGATGTTGCGAAGGCTGTGAGATTAGACGGTCAGGCTAAGTATTTGTCTATAAAATGTCTCCAAAAAGTCCCTGATCACGCAAAGCTGTATTTTGAATTGTAGTGGAATATTCATAGATGTTAAATTATGAAGTAAAATCCTTATTTATAGTTTTTGTTTAGATTTTGTTGTAGATACAAAATAGAATTCATAAACTATCCTGTATTGTTTTTGTAGTTAAAAAGTTGTATTGGTTTCACCTTTTTTCATATAGGACTCTTATGTTTTTAGCCCTTCGCCTCAAAAGATAATGTAAATATTATGTTATATTGTTTTAAATTGTTAAAAGCTAATGGAAATGGTCCTGATTCTCTCAACATTGATAATTTCTAAAGAATTGCAAATTTGAAAGTTTGTAAAGAACGTCTTAATTTCAAACAGTAGAGGGCAGCCCAATCAAGTCGCATTAGAACAAGAAGCATGACATTTTCCCACATTTTACCCTTTAATGGTTTCCTCAACCATTTTGTAGATCACCTTTTGAGTAATATATCTACTTTAAGCATGATTGGAACTAAAATATACATCTTTGGGGCATCTATATTGGTTTTGTGAAAGGCTAATTACAATATGTCTGACTAAAGCAGAATAACATTGTAACCCTTACCCATGTTGACCTACATCAGGAACATCGCAAATGAACAATGTACTGCGTAGACCTTCTGCATTAATAGTCATTCATCCAATTAAACGCTGGATTATTCTCTTTGACCTAAAAAATTGATCCAATCTCACGTCTGCTCCGCGGTGCGCTCAAAGACACCAGGCCAGTGTGCCAGCTCCGCTCTGAGCCGGATGAAGCCCAACACCCACAGAAGTCTGGATATCCCCGCTCTCATTACCACCACAACAATTGGAGTCATTTTTAGCTCTCTGGTGATTCTGCATAAAAAGTGGGACAGAATTGACTGAAATCACTGGCGTTACAAAAAATCTAAAAATAACACCATAGCACAAGTTGTACTAGTTTAGTGTGAATACATCAGCCTGGGGTAATTTAAAAGTAGTTTTACAAGATGGACTTACATGTTTGATATCGCAGAGATAAGATACCGTTTGGTCGCCGCAGCCCCAAAGGGAAAGATACACTGTTACTTTTTGGCCTATATGATTTAATAGAAATAAAACATGTACAGTATTTAATTAACTAAATTTCCATTGAAGAAAAAAGAGCCCTGACAAAGTACAGGCCAGGTGTGTGAGATGCAGACCCCCTCACAGTAAAAACATTGTTTTTCTTCTTTTTTCAGTGCAATAATTACTTATTAGTCCTTATTCGACATCTAACTAACTACTAACTGACACTAGGATTATAGGGCTAGGCTTAGGGCACACTAAGTAGCACTGTTAATTTCGCTAATCTGTGTTATCATTATTCTTATTATGAAGTGAAATCTAACTTTATTCTTGTGTTTAACATTCTCTCCTTGAAAAAAATAAATGTATTTTTTGTGGATTTTCTAAGCACTACTAACCCAAATAATTTGTGTTTTTTTTTTTTTACCGTTCCATCCATCCATCCATTTTCTACTCCTTAATCTATTTCTGGTCGGGGGGGTGGCCAGAGATGCCACCCAGTACACATAGTACTTATTTTTGAAATTAGGGACCTTTACCAAATGGTTGAGATGCAGTTTGACGGTATAAGTGCCTAAAACCAAGTGAGAAGCCTCAAAGAGATATATTTCAGTTCAATCTTCAAAGTAGATATATTATCTACCAAATGAGGAAACCATTGAAGGGTTAAGTAGCTGGACTAGGGACTGCAGATTAAATACACATGAGCTGTAAGGAGATAGTAGCACACATTTACCTGCATTTGAACATGTCACTAATATTTGAAAAAAATGGGTCATTCAAACATGGTGATTTTCTTTTGTAGTGAATGAGCAGACCCAGAGCCACTCTGAGAAGGTGCTACTGTGGTATTCACTGTGCACCTTTTGTGATTTTGCTTTCTGAAGGACTTTCTGTCTGCAGTGACCAGGTGCAGGGTTAGTGGAGGGCTCCATGATGGTTAGAGCGACATTATCCATGCCTCCTCTCAGCAGGATTAAGTTCACACTTCCCCACTGCGCTGGCACCAAACACATGGGCCCAGGTGTAGCAACATGAGCCCTGCCTGTGTGCACGTCACTATCTCCCGCAGATAAACTTTAATGGATTGAGTTCTCCGTCATTCATTTGAACACTATACCAGCCTTTTATATACTATATTCCTAATTCAAAGGTTACATTGTGGAAGAAAATGTCATTGTACCTCTATGTATTGTTTAATTAAGGTAATCTATATATTTACCATATATGTGATTGTGATTAACTGCAATTACAAAAGCTTGTTTCATTGATACCTCTTTACTGGTTCTGGTTGTGTGTATCCAGGTCTCTTTAAAGATCAGCGTGAATCATACAATTATGCAGCTGACAGTCGATTATCACAGAGCATGTGTTTGGACCTTTACTATGATGTAACTACTTCTTTGAATTATGTGATTATTTCTGTTAAATTAGAAATTACAGGTTTAGCAACAGATTAAACCAATATAAAAATGGATTCAAACCATCTGCTGACTGTAAATCATATCCGTAATGACTGCAAACCCTTAAAACTCTCTGACCTCTAATGCCTTTCGTTTCCATCTGCCCATGTGTGGAGCAGCTTGAATTTGGACTTGTAAACACCAAACACACACAAATCAAAGAGAAAATCCTCACATGTAGAGGATGTCTGTGCCCCTTTTCCTGGGCACATATAGGGCCAGCTTCTATAAATACTCCCACACATTGACATTGCATAAGCTCAGCTGACATTCCCCACTGCCACGCGGATCACTTTTTTTTCCATTGAGTCTGATGGACAATGGACACAGCTGCCTTCTCTCTGTCTGTGTTGTGATTTGTGTCTGGGTGTTTCACTGTTTATATCACCCTTTTCTACTTGAGAGAAACATGAAAGGATATACAGTAAATATATATATTTACTATATGTATGTTATATATAAATATGTTGTACACTTAACATTTTAATCATTTTTGGCACACTCTTAATAAAGAACTGAGCTCATACTTGACATTTTTAACCCAACATATTTGATCTGGACTTGTATCAATTATTTCCCAACTATTGAAAAGTATTTTCCTCTTGCCCTGTAACCATTTGTGTCACACTCGCCATTTTGGGCTAAAAGATCTCTGGTTTAGCACTGTCTTAAATCCCCTAAAAACTGAACAATAAAGTGCCTTCTGTCCCAGAATTCGTCTTTAGCTAGCAAATAGCGCAAGCAGGGACCGATCAGCTCCCAGCTCTTTGGTTGCCAGGTTATTGCTCCCCACAAATCTAATCCTAACCTTAACCCTATAACCCTAGCCCACAAATAACCCTAACCCGCTCAGCCTATTTGAGTTGAGCACGAACTACCTTCTTCTGCAATAAGGCCAATTCTATGGGTGACGTCAGCACTTGTTTAGACAATTTCTTCTACAGTCTGCGGGTTAAATGCAGATAAGTCATTTTTATATAATTTTATTACCATTTTCATTGGATAAAATATCCACATAAAGACACTTTGTCCTGGCCTCATGGTGCAAGTAAACAGTTACTAGTTACTATTACCTCCAGGTAGAGCTGCCTCTGGGACCAGTGGTGCGAGCAATGCATGGAAAACGTCTCCACTGCCTTTTCTACATGCTTTACTTTTGCTTTTCCTTGATCACGTACAGTGTGTTTAAGGTTATGAGATACTAGTGTTTACAATTCCTGTTTCTCAAAGACGCTCTACAATCTTCCCGCTCTGCTTCTGTGTTCAAACTGTACTACTGAAGTCATACAGATTTTGCTATAATCTTCTCCGGGCATGCTCCGCACGCACCGGGCTGCGGGCTCCATGCTCCACGCACGTCTCCTCCAGTTTGATGTTATCCATGTTGTCCATGTTATGTTGGAAAGAGCTTGTGTCTTGGCTGGATGGATCATTTATTGTTCTTTTGTTCCAGCTCTATGATCAGGTTGCTTTCAGTTGTGAAAATCAGAGACCCACCTGAGCTCTGTCTCTTATTATATATATTAACACAGATGCCGCGTTTAATGATAAATAGATACATCAAATAAAGGATGCACTTAAAATATGAATATATTAAATTGCAAAGAAAATAAAATCTCATCCGAGCAACATCAAGTGCATCCGGTGTATCGCTCTATTAAAAGTGTTGGCCACATGTGCAACTACAATGGTCGCTTTCTGGAGCCCTGATGTAGGTTATGAGTTATAATGTGGTAATGAGACCAGCTGCAGACCAACTGAAACTTTTGTGGCGAGAGGAGGACTGTAGCTTCCTGCCTGAGGGGAGTGACTTAAATAGTCCATGTCCAGGTGAGAAAGCCCAGTTGTGATCCCACCTGCTGGTCCCAAGTCCTGGAGGCGTACAGCTCTGGTCTCTGCTTGACCGCGGCAGTGGCTCCAGTGTACCACTCAGGGAAGTAGGATGTTTGTGTAGAACTATACCATATTCTGGGAGTGTAGTTAATCCTCTACAGGGCCTTCTTGATGATAGTCAGCTCCCTTAGATTCTCAGTAATATTTCTGCAGAGTAAGCAGGATGTATGGTGGTGTCTTTCAGGACGAGGGGGTGATCCATAATCATCTCCACTGTCTTCATAATCCTTACATGATGATAATTGCATATGCTGCATAATTTTCATGCTTTTATTTGGTCATGTAGCTGAAGCCAATGCTTGTGTCACTGCTGTTTCAGCGTATACACAATGCACTCTACACTCAAAGGTCACCATGAATGACTGCTGCACTTACTTCATGAGCTACTGACTGTTTTCAAACCCCTCTCTCCTGATATGGGAGTACGGCATTCCTCTGAATTCCCACAATTCACTAGAGAGTGCAAAACATGATGTCACTCACTGTTCCCAGAAGGGCGATCCTGTCTGAGTGTACCCACTTAAAAGTAACATCAATTGAGGCATCCCCATGTTGAATTACGTGGTTCACTTATTTTCAAAAACTCTGCCCTCTGACTTTGTGCAAATGTGCATAGCATTCTGTCATCCGTGTGTGAGCCTACAACTAAGACATTTAATTCTAGGTATTTATTCATGGGCCAAAGTCCAGACTACACTTTGTTTAGTGTTAGAGAAGTGGATAGATGCAGTAGATTCAACTAATTCAAAATGACATAAACAAGCATTGTCAACAGAAAGAAAAATAGAACAGAGGCCACTTTAGACAGGAAATGCTTTTAGAAAAAGTGCTGGTAGATATTGTTTAGTAAGTGAAAAAGATCCTTGGAGACATAGGGAATACTGAGAGACAAAGGAAGGATGATAGCGATGGATATGAAGGGGGTTGGAGTGAAAAAAATAAAAAGAGAGGGAGAAACTGAAGAGAGAGAGACTGAGAGAGGCAGGCGGGCGGGAGGGGGAAATGTCCCAGATTCCCATGCCATTTAATAGGAAGCAAAACCAAAGTGAGCTTATAATGTAGACAGGCTGGGGCAAAGAAGTGACAGCATGGCTATAGGGGGCATTCCGCCAGTCTCCCTGGATTTTCAACATGGAAGACGATATTTTTTTTTTATGTGGATACTCTCCCAACTACATTTTTAACCTGGATTTTCACAGATAATTTCTCAAATAACAGTGTGGATGGCATAACGGGCACACTTTAATCACACCACATGTCTAAGTGACTGGACTAGCTGGAACTATGTATCTCTACAAGGGTAACTGCTCAGAGATTTCTAACCCCAAGCAGAAAGGGGGGGCGGCCAGGGGTCAAGTTGGATTGCCGGTTTTGGGCCCGGTAGGAGGAGGAGGTCAGGGGAAACTTGTAAGGCGGACATCGGCAACCATGGGACCACAGCCGTATGTGCCGTGCATGCTGTGGACACCCAGTAAAAAGAGCTGCCTAGCAGAGGTGAAGCAGCTGGAGGAGTTTCTCAACTTCCACGCGCTGTCACTGCACGATACGGTGAAGAGTCGGACAGCAATGGTGTACAGGTAATGAGCAAAGGATCAAGATTTAAGTTGGCATGCTCAGGGAATTGGCTCTGATGATTTCATTAACTTTGTTTCTTGGTCCAGCGAGATTTCTCTTCTGATGAAATGTGGCTTTAAACTTTGTGTTGTGGTCTTTTAAGTGCATCCCTCCGGCTTCTCTATTTATCCAAGGAAGAGACCTTAACTAAGATTGTTGAGGTTCTCATTTTCGATCACTTGAAAGTCAATAAGATCATAATATCTATTGTTGATGCTCTATTTTATTGAACAACATTGACTTAATGTAGTGGGAACTTTACCAACAAATGTGCGGAATGCTTGTGATTCCTAACACAACTTTGAAAGCATGCAATGTTTTGTTTCCTCTGCAATTAACATAGCTGCAGTTGATATTTTTCTTCATGTTGACTTGTTTCAGTTCACTCTATTTCTCTGACTACTCAAAGTACTCTGAACTCTGAACCGCTCTGATGTACATTCAGTACATTAACCCCAAGCAGATATTCAGTGTCAGATTTGCTGGATTTCAACTGTGGGCTTGTATTAGAATGTCTTGTTTTTACACATAAGCGGCTTTGTTGTTTTTTCTTGTTTTTTTGCTGTCAAATGAGTGACAAATGTATACAATAAGTGTACAATATATTGTTGCTTGTATTGTAAAATACAAATGAACGACCAACAAAATATAAATTCTATTTACAATTAGCAGGACAGTATTTTTTAGACGAATGGTTATTGATCAACATTTGTGTTGATATTATTTAAAATGCAATTAACATACAGTATTGTCAATCGGCAAAAGGTTGGTAAAAGTTGGATTTGGCAAAGTTACCCATTTGCTCTTAAAATAAAAATGGATCTGCATGTTAGTGGAGCTCAAACACTTCCATCCATTTGGGAGATGTGACTGTTGTAAACACACCTGGTCCTGTGGCCTCTGACCAGCTGGACAAACTCAAAATAACTGTAGTAACTTTTATCCATTCCTCTTCAACTTTTGTGACCTATGATTAACTGTTGGCAGAATATATCTCAATAGAATAATGCTATTAACTTTTCATTGTTGAAATACTTTTGAAGGGCAATGAAAGAGCTCGTCTTCAAAAAGTTATTTAATCCATTTCCCTCTTCTCTCCATGGCAATGATATATCATCCGTAACCCCCTGCTGCTCAGATCTGTGGGCTTTTGGGCAGTAATCTTGGAGAAATATTCTAATAACTCTATTTGGTGCAAAGAGATTTAAACTGTAAGGGCCGAGGAACGTGTGATCTGATTTGAAATAGTTATAACTCATTATAGCAAATATCTTCATAATAATGACGATAGTCACACATCCTTACCCCATCTTCAGTTTTTCAAAGACCCTTCGTAAGAAAAATATTGTTCTCAACTTATGAGCTTTAATGTGACAACAATAAACCAAAGATAAAGATGTTTTATTTGATTACAAAAATATATTATGTTAAAGGTATTGAGGGACCTTTTTCCGGAAGTCTTCCAAAGGGCCACTACTGTCTTCTGTCTTCCACATCTTCTCAGCGACCCCCACGGACGTTTTCCTCATTTGCTGCACTTCCATTTTCACCAAAATCACAGAGAAACAGCGTTAGCTGCTAACCGCTACATAAACAAATGTGTCAGTCCACTGCCCACGTGCGGTCGGGGACGTGCGAATGATGCTGAGCACAATGATCGACAGTGAGGCTGTGATGTACAATAAACATGCCCCACACATTTAAAATATGGAAAACATTTCAAGCTGGATCAATGTTTATATAATAGAGTATATATAATAGGGTATATATACTAGAGTATGTGTATGTGTATATATATATATATATATATATATATATATATTATATATATATTCAGCCGTACTAATTACCACCAATAGTGTTGGGTGGAGGGTGTCGTCCAAAAAAATTCACTGCATGCACTTTATGAAGGACGAGAAACTCTTGTCACTGGCATGATCTTCCACATGTGCCACTCATGTGCACAGCTCCTGCTGGTCCCTCTGCTTCCCCTGATGTTTTCCCAAAAGTACACGTGCTGATGCGCCTGCTCAGTTTCTGCTGGACCCTTCACAAAACACCTGTTTTAAACCGTTTCACTTAAAAAAATTTTTTTACACCTTTCATTAATTAATATTAATAATTAATTGTCTTGGGTTAGGGTTATTCTTTTCTTTTTTCTTATTCTTATTCTTATTTTTAGCTGATTCCTGGCCCTAATTAAAACTATTATGTACTGTGGAGAGAGTGAGAAGTCTGCAGAGGACTGTCATTGATGTATACAGTTTCTTTATCTTTTCTAACCAACAATGACAGAACTGACCTATTCATCGGCACAAGTAACTCATGGAAGTTGTCTGCTGCGTAGTTTTAAAGAGCTCCTTTGATTCGGGCTGATGTTTTAATTTGAGCTGTGATCCTCAGACGGGACCCTCATGTGTTGGAAGTGTTTTGCCTCCAGTTTGTCATCTGTGACTCAGGAGCGTGTTGGAGGATTTGACTGAGTGTGATTGGGACGTTGTGGATCACTGCTCAGCCTGCAGTGCCACAATGATACTACTACTATATTGTTTTTGAGTATTTAGACCATAACGAAACAATTTACAAGTGCACACATGCAATTTGATGTTTTCCTGAATAGCAGGAAAAGTAGAAAGTTGAGATTGCAGCTTCCAAGTCCACTTCAGATCAGAGCTGCCACTAACAATTATTAACTTTTCTGTGAATTACTTTTCAATTAATCTGATACATTTGTTGTTGTTGCTGTTATATTAGTGAAATTGTATGAAAACATATTTTGTTTCATTGGAACAGTAATACATGCATGGAGAGTGATTGTGAATGCATTAGTTGAGGCAACCCTGGCGGGTGCACTGCCTACATACTGTGAGCATGTTTTTTGCTGTTGGGCCCCTTAGCTGAAAGTCAATGGCTGAGCCAGGTCCATGACCCCGCTGTGGTGGCACCGGGCGGCAGTACTGCAGTTCTGAGGGGTCTGAAGGTCTGAATGTAAATCGGAACGTCTTCCTGACGTCAACCACCCTGTTAAGAGGAAATGATTTACAGCTGTAGATAGATATATCTATAGATAGGAGCTGTAATATTCATATTTGTTTTAAGTGTGTACATTTCAGGCCAAGCACAGTCCCAAGAAGAAGACAATTATGCTTTAAGATGTGCAGAAACAATAATCACTTATATTTACACTGCAAGGCTATTGTTCTATACCGTATAAGCAGTGTCCTCTCCTCCATGTGGCACTCAGCTTGGTGCAGCAGCTCTGTAGTGATTTACACTGCAGCTGTGGCTCCGTCAAAGGCTTTTATGGATGTATGATGAGATGAACTTTACGCACTGCACGCGTCCGCATAGTGTCCGCGATCCGCACAGTGTCCGCGATCCGCACAGTGCAATTGTGCGAACGGCACATTTGTGCGTCGTGAATGAAGTTAAGAGGAGAAAGAAAAGTCATATTTTGAACACAGTTTTGGATTTGAGAGCAGAGAAGACGGTCCAGGACTTGGTTCCTGGGCTTTTGTTTTACCGCTTGGTTTCACAGCTCCTGGTCAGATACCTTTGTCTTTCGCTCCCTCTCTATGGTCTGTAAGCCGTGTCTATTACACACAATGTGCTTTATGTGGAAATACCAAGCAGATGTTAAGGACACATGCATATTAGTCATATCTGCAATAAAAATAATATATTATGTCGACACATGGGCTGGTGCTCTGTGAATTGGGTGCAGCTCTGACTTCCAACCCCACCCCCCCCGACCCAGAAATGGATTAAGGGGAAGAAAACTGATGGATTTTATGTCGACACATCGTTGCCGCCTAATAGTATTCAGTATCTAAACTTTATGACTCTTATTATGTACTTTATTATCTCCTCTTGAACCTCATGGACACTCACAATACACAGTGTAAGGAATGATAACCAGGCCCTGTGTGTACTTTATATTTGGAGCAGAAAGGCTTAACATTTCCATGAACTATATTTTGGTCATTCCACCTCTAAGCCTCCAGCATTAGTGAGTTTGTATTCAATTACAAACGAAACATCGTTTCGTTAGATGCTTTGTTCTCATGAATAGCATGTGATATTTCAACAATCCAATCATAAAAATATACAGCAGAGGCGTTTTGTTATGGAAAATAATACTATATGGGTGTTCTGTTTGCATGGTCAACAGCTGCCTATTTATTGTTTTTCTGGTCACTGTGTAGTCGCTGGTCAATCAGGAATCTTTCATATTTGATCATTATTTTTTACTGAAAGTCTCTAATCTATAGTACACTACAGCTATAAATGTCTGTACTGTCACCGATTGATGGTTGGTATAACTTACAGTGCCTTGCAAAAGTATTCGGCACCCTTGAACCTTTCAACATTTCACCACATTTCAGGCTTCAAACATAAAGATATAAAAATGAATTTTTTTGTCAAGAATCAACAACAAGTGGGACACAATCGTGAAGTGGAACGAAATTTATTGGATAATTTAAACTTTTTCAACAAATAAAAAACTGAAAAGTGGGGCGTGCAATATTATTTGGCACCCTTGCGCTAATACTTTGTAGCGCCACCTTTTGCTGCAATTACAGCTGCAAGTCGCTTGGGGTATGTCTCTATCAGTTTTGCACATCGAGAGACTGGAATTCTTGCCCATTCTTCCTTGCAAAACAGCTCGAGCTCAGTGAGGTTGGATGGAGAGCGTTTGTGAGCAGCAGTCTTCAGCTCTTTCCACAGATTCTCGATTGGATTCAGGTCTGGACTTTGACTTGGCCATTCTAACACCTGGATACGTCTATTTGTGAACCATTCCATTGTAGATTTGGCTTTATGTTTTGGATCATTGTCCTGTTGGAAGATAAATCTCCGTCCCAGTCTCAGGTCTTTTGCAGACTCCAGCAGGTTTTCTTCCAGAATGGTCCTGTATTTGGCTCCATCCATCTTCCCATCAATTTTAGCCATCTTCCCTGTT